TTCCCTGCCTCTGCAATCCCGTGCCTACCTCGAACAGGGACCACGCGACCCTCCAATTTTCCCAGTAACGTCACTGAGATATAACCCCCATTTTTAAATTTCTTTTTTTTCATTTCTATTATTTTTATTATTCTTCCACCTACGTTCTAATGGCCACAGATGCCAAGATCACGGCGTAGTGGCTGGCGAAGACAGCTCCGGCGCCTCGTGAAGTCCCTTCACAGACACGGAGACTTCGACCCCCGCGTCTTCGGGCCTCCTCAGGATCCCGCCGATCCCGCACCTCGCGGCGAGGAATCATTCGCCCCTAAGCCGAAATCGCCGCCTCAGCCGAAGACTGCGGAACAGTCGTCCGCGTCCTGTGGGTGCATTCCGCGCCGGGTCACCCAACTCCCGCCTCCGGACACATCTCGGCCTCCGGTCAGGATCCCCACTAGACCCGTGAAGGTCACCGGGAAGCCCAGAATCGTACCCGTAGAAAAGTTAGACATCGCAATAAAAATCGTCAAGTAAAACGTCGTCTACTCATTATTGCCTTTCTGTCACTTCCTGGTTCTCCACATAGAGCTCTGAAGGACGAGCACCCCTCGCTAAGGGCAAGAGCGACGTTCTTATGTGACTCTGTAAAGAAAGATGCGCTTCTGATAGAGCTCTTAAAAGAACCACGAAGGCGACCTAGCAAAACCACTCGACGCACCTGCTACTAGCGACAAAAAAATCTCGCCGAGGAGCAAAGGCCCACGCGCCCGCTCCCCTTCAAGGAGCATAGAGAAAATTTATCCCTCTGATGCTTCCGCAATACAGGACGTAACATGGTAATTATTCAGTTTAGCTACCCCACCTCAAAAATTAATAAAAATAGGCTTTTCGATGCGTTTTTGCATGAAATGATAGAATCTGGCAAAAAAAGTGTCGCTCTGCCCAGTGAGCCGAGATATTAAGCGTTAAATTTCGAGATTTTAGAGGTTAAGATATCTGTCATTCCGACTCGCTGCAGCGCTACATACGTAAGTTCTGTTCTTTTTCGAAGAATTCTGAAATAGTGCAATAAGTTAGAGTGAAACAGTTGTAGTTTGGAGCACTTTCATCTGATTGGTCTATATTTTAGGATCTAATGGAATATGCCAATCAGATGAGAGAGCTCATTTAGCGATCAATAAGCGGTTGTCGTTCCGGAATGCATACTACTTTGCTGTAGACTGATTCCATTTGATTGTAATAAAATGGCATATTCAGTAGAGCAAATGAATAAAAATCCTTGGCTTGCTGTTCAGGATGTTGTTGGGCACGCAAAGCTGTGGTCAAAAGGACTCCGCACAAAATCATAGGATTTTGGCCCTCGGTGAAATTGGCTGAAATTTTAGTATATTATAGTTCTTGACTCACTGATCAAAAGTGTCCATAGACACAAAGCTTGAAAATGACTAGTTTTTTTTGTTATAGCTGTTTAAAGTTTTATTTTATTAATGTTTCAAAAGCAAGTTTCAGTAATAAATCAAGAGATTTTAGATAACAATATGCCATTCACTCTTACCACTCTCACTTCCAACCCCACCCCCACTTCCACCCCCACTCCATCCCCACCTCTATTCCTATACACATACGCCCGCATGCGCATTTTTACTACGTACTTAGATTTTGCTAAATTTTTACGGTTTCTCTCACGCGTATCATTTGAAATATATGAGTCCATTTACCTTTTGTGTGCGAAGTACTTGATTATCACGACCCGAATGTTTATTTCGGCATGTGAAGCTCCATGTACAAAAAGAAATCGGGTGCTCTCTAAAGTGCGATAGCAACATAGGATAGAAAATTCTTTTCCTCTTCGCTTTGTTTACATTCATATGCGGCAGGGAAACTCACAAAAATCAAGTAACCTAAAGGAATGAAACGCCTGTCACGTCCACGTCGTTCATTCCCAATAATTCTGAGAACGAACGAAAAATTAAAATCATAAATGTACCATTGATGCATACACAAACACATACGTTGGCGCGCGCACGCACACACATATGAAATTTCGATTTTTATGCACGTTTTTCATGTAAAAATGCGCGCGCAGGCGTATGTGTGTGGGAATGGGGATGGGGGTGGAGTGGGAGT